GCCACACCACAGTTCAGGGCAACAGAGCCAGCTTCTGTTGAGGAAATATTTCTGAAGAGGAAATATAGATTAACTGCACCCTTTACAGAAGACCCCAGTTGTAGATAAACACTGAGACATTAAAAGAACCTGGGCTCAAAGACACAGGCCAATACCTACAACAGTATAAACTCAAGAAGATGCAACACAAGGTGACCCTTTGATCACCTCTTAATTAACACCACCATGGCCAAAGCCAAGTCCAGTGATGGCGACCATCCCCACATTGCATAGCTACAGACATCGAGGGACAGGGCTAGTTCTTGGTGGCGTAAGTGGAAAGATGAAATTCTAACTGTTCTATCCACACGCCTGCAAACTCAGAATGCAGAAGGCTGAGACAGGAGGATAGGAACATTCAAGGATAGCCTGGGCTGCATGGTGAGACTCTATCTCAAAATAAAGAGTGGGAGGCAGCCGGCTCAGTGGCACAGTGCTCCCCTGACAATGCACTAGTTCAGTCTCTAGTGAAGAAAAGGAAAGAGAAAAAAAAGCTATCCTGTGCTTCGGATGGTTAAGCCCCTGAGGAGCCACTTCTGGGCAGCTACCTCCCCCCACTCACAGGAACAAGATGCCACTTTGAGTTTGATTTCCAGTTCCTTCTCTGGGGCTGTTGTGGGCCCCTAGGGTTCTCTACAACGCGCTCTGTAATGGTGCTTAAAATTAGATGACTCCAACACAAGGAAAATAATAACCAGTAAACAGGGCTACAGTGCGGGGACGCGGCCTCGGAGGGCTCTTTACAGCTGGAGGAATCCAATATCTCCCATCGACCTCAACACTCACTCTGTGAGGCTTCCACCATAGTCACTTGGTGGATATTTTTATGCCTGTTAAAAAGCGTAGCCCATGGGGTGGGCATGGACATGGGTCAGTGTCTTAGTGCTTGGCTAGCCTGTGTGAAGCCCTTGGTTCAATTCTCAGCCTCCCCCACAGAAGTGTGGGGCAATTGCCAATTTAATCAGACAGAAGCTAAACTTAAGAAATGGGCTTTGATCTTTGCCTAGTGCCTACAATGGAGGAGGGGCTCGGGGGCTGAGTGTCTATCACGGCCAGGGCCATGGCTTCCGGTCTTTTAGTTAGACACTATCTGATACCCATAGAAGTCATCCATGGAGATAAGACCACTCAGCAAGAGACCGGGCATCTCACCTCTCTCAAGGCCCCAGTTTCCTTACCCATAAAATGAGACTCATTTCAGGCTGAGGAAGGCAGCATAGTACTCGGAGCACAAGCCTGGCCTGGCAGCTGGGCTCCCATGACAGGAAGTGGTGAGGGTGGGTGTGGGGCCTGGTGCTTAGGATTTCTGAGACCCTCGCCAACAAAAAACACATCATTGGTTCTCTGCAAATAGCGAATGGCTGGACTCGTGTTTAGATAGGCGTTAGCATGGAATTGGAAGTGAAAGCCAAAGGTCTATGGGAGATTGTGAGTTAGTCACACAGCTCACATGGCCCCATTCCCTATGGGTACCTCTCCTATAGGGCTGGGGAGAGACCCTATTTATTTTACTCTAAGCACCAAATAGCAAATCAGGACACCACTGGCTTGTGGCGGCTTTGGTGACCATCTTCCTCCAGCACCTAGCTCCCTGGGTTGAGGTTACCAAGAACAAGAAAGGCTCCATTGGCACTCCCCCCCCCAAAAAAAATAAGCCCCAGCAAGGGCTGGAAGATGAGATGGCTCCACAGCTAAGAGCACTGGCTGCTCTTCCATAGGACCAGGGTTCAAATCCCAGCACCCACAGGGTGGCTCACAACTATCTGTGACTCTTAGGGGATCAGATGCCCTCTTCTGGCCTCCACAGGCACTGCATACACACAGTGCACAGGCACACATGCAGACAAAGCACCTATACACATACAAAATGAAATTTTAATTAAAAAATTAAATTTCCAGAGCAATAAGAGGACTGGAATAACCACTCAGACAAGCCATTCTGCCTCATTCCACAGAGAATTCCACAGCTTGCCCAGTGAGGCTATGGAAGCATCTCTGTTTCTCTTCCTGGCCAGCCTTTTCTGAGCTAATTCCATGTTCTGTGTGGCTCCTATTTGTCTCATGGGCAAGAACTGTATCCAGCACAGTGGGGACAGGCCCCACCTGGGCAGAGGGAAACATCCAGGCTCAGTTTGCTGACTTTTGAGTACTAGATCAAAGGTATGTGCCTCCTCACTTGCCCACTCACGCTCAGGCAGACAGACCTTGATAAGTATGTTTGGAACAGGATTTTTTATTTCTATCATTTTAGACTCATTATTTTTACACTAAGTGTTAGAGTGTTTACCTGCATGTGAATATGTATTATACTCCATGTGTGCAGTGCCCAAGGAGACCAGTAGAAGGTGACAGATGCCTTAGAACTGGAATTCAATATAGTTTTGGCTACCACGTGGGTGCTGAGATCTGAACCCTGGTCCCCTGAAAGAGCAGCAAATGCTCTTAACTGCTGGGTCATCTCTCCAACCCCTTGGACCAGGATTTTAATAAAAAAGTGAAAAACACTGTCAATAAATCAAAAGCAAAAACAACCAGGCATGGTGGTACACGACTTTAATGCCAGCCCTCAAAGGTAGAGGCAGTTGTTTTCCTCTACTTAATGAATTTAATGCCAGTCTACTTAAGGAATTTCAGGCCAGCCAAGCTGACACATCTAACAAAGATGGGAGATTCCATCTAACAAAGAAAGAAGGAAGGAAGGAAAGAAAGAAAAAAAAAGGAAGGAAGGAAGGAAGGAAAAAAGAAAGGAAGGCAGGCAGGAAGGAAGGAAGGAAGGAAGGAAGGAAGGAAGGCAGAAAGGAAGGAAGGAAGGAAAAAAGGAAGGCAGGCAGAAAGGAAGGAAGGAAGGAAGGAAGGAAGGAAGGAAGGAAGGAAGGAAGAAAACTGGGGATGCAGCTCAGAGTCTGGTGCTGACCTAGTGTGTAAACTGCCCTGGGCTCAATCATGAGCTCTAGAGAGAGACCAGCAGTTGGCAGATTGTAGTGGCATCTTGCCTTGTCAGTGAAATTGTAGTGGTGGCCACACCCTTTGGGTGTGGTTTCAGGTGTAGCTGTGACCCATTCTAAGGTAGAGCAGGGGCTGGCTCCCACTCTCTTGGGTCATGGGGAACATCAGAAGGGCAGAGACAGCATCTTCTGGAGCAGGAAGGCCATGGCAGTTATTTACTCTTATCTGTGTAAGTGCTTCCCTAATAGACATCTATTTATCATCTGTCTTGGGTCTGGTGAACTCATTTAAACCCCACCTTCAGGAGATTGTAACAGCCACTGTCTACATTTATTTGATCGTGTGCTGGGCCTACAGTTCTGACCACCAACACAGGGTCAGAAAGAGGACATCATGTCTGGGGTTTCCCTGTCTTGAGATTCCAGTGAAGAGACTGAATACATGTGCTCAGAGCCTCACACTGAATAAATACAACCATCTGGACAACACCAGCCACAGATTCCAACCAGCATGAAACACAGGGCATGATAGTGCAAGTCTGCTATCCCAGCATGGGGGTGGGGGTGAAGGGGTGGGAGAAGGCAGGAGGATTCACAGGGCTTGCTGGCCCAGCCTAGTGCAATCAGTGAGTTCCAGGGGAACCCTGTCTCTAACAATAGTGCATAGCATCTGAGGGGGCACCACCTGAGGTTGACCTCTGTATACACACACACACACGCACACGCACACGCACACGCACACGCACACGCACACGCACACGCACACGCACACGCACACGCACACGCACACGCACACGCACACGGAGGCACACACCTAGAGGAAGATGCTAGCAAGCCAGAACTCCATGTCTCTGCAGAGTCTGCATTTTACTAGCTCAATTGAGACAGGGTTCACACTATGTATAATTGGCCTGTTTAAGGACAGGAGTCAGCAACTTTCAGAATATTCTGACGATGCAACCACCCACACACAAAGCACCCATCAGCACTCATTCCCTAGCCGCCAACCTTCAATGACCACTTGTCTATCTACCTTTGGGCCCTATTGATTTGCCTACTCTGGATTTTTCATCCCATCACATTTGTCTTTTTGTGAATGGATTCTTAGTACATTCCAGATTCATCCATGTTGCAGCATATACCAATTTTCACTCTTCACTGCTGTAGACTATTCCACTTTGTGTACATACCACCTTTTTCCCCCTTCATTTTCAGTTAATGGCCCTGGGGTTGTTTCTGCCCTGGCTATTATGAATAAGGAACAGAAATAGAAACTTTATGCTAACATTCCAGTTCTGATCAAACCAGCTCCCAGCTTTAAAAAAATTACACATATATATATTGCATATTATATATTTTATGTATATAATATATAAATGCATAATATAAATATATTTAGTCACATATTATAAATTAATATATGACTATAGGATATTAATATGTATTTATGATATATAATTATATTGTAATTAATATAATAATGTTGTATATGGTATTACATATATAATTTAAAGAATATATGTATATATTCTTCTTCTCCCAAAAGAATCACTCAACAAGAACATTAAGAATGGCATAAAAGCAGATTTCTATGAGAGCAAACTAAATAATCATAGAAATGCATCATTGCAATGAGGCCCAAGCAAACAAATAAAACAATAACACCAGCAGCTGCATATAATAACATTAAAATTCTGTGTGTGCTGCTCCAACAAAATCTCAAATCATTAAAATCTCATTATACTAATAACATGTCTCCTGCATACATTTCAGGACAACACTCTCTCCCCCTGGCAAAAGGCTTCTAAACAGCACACAGGAAGTTAGAAAGTGTCCTCACTGCCCACCCGTGAGAGGTACATCTTCCCATCTCATCTCTGTAGGAGCCCTCACCTGGACCAAGTTACCCTGGGAAAGAGATGGCAGAGATGAGCCCTGGGCAACCAGCTCCAGTCCCTACTGAGTCCTCATACTCGAGCCTTCCCATAGGAAAGTGGCTACCAAAATGCACCATGCTGGTTTGTCCTGTTGTGTTTTTATTGCTTCTCTCCAATGACCAGCCTTTTCCTCTCTTCTGGCATTTCTTCTCCATCCAATGGGCAGAGTGGGAGGTGTGGTGGTTTGAAAGAAAATGCTCCCCCAGAAGCTCATTAGGAGTGTGACTTTGTTGGAGGAAGTGTTCCTGAGGACTGGCTTTGAGGTCTCAGATGCTCAATCCAGGCCTAGTGTGAGTCTTCTGCTGCCTGTGGATCAAGATGCAGAACTCTCAACTCCTTCTCCAGCACCATGTCTGCCTGCCATTATTCCTGCCATGATAATAATGGACTAAACCTCTGAACTGTAAGCCAGCCCCAATTAAATATTTTCCTTTATAAGAGTTGCTGTGGGGGCTGGAGAGATGGCTCACTGGTTAAGAGCACTGGTTGTTCTTCCAGAGGTCCTGAGTTCGATTCCCAGCAACCATAAGGTGGCTCACAACCATCTGGTGCCCTCTTCTGGACTGGTTACATGCAGACAGAACACTGTATACATAACAAATAAATCCTTTAAAAAAAAAAAAAAAAAGAGTTGCTGTGGGCATGGTGTCTCTTCACAGCAATATAAACCCTATGACAGGAGGGGTGGCAATGGGCTGACTGAGGGTGACATGGTAACAGAAAGGTGTTGGCACCTGTGTGGCTAATGTCACCCCCCTCCCCAGGCCTTATGTTAAAATCCACAAACTATGGAAACACATAAAGACCTCCTCACCCTCTTCAGGAGGCCAAGGCTGACACTTTTCCTCTCTCTCACATCCCTGCAGCTGGCCAACCGTCTGTCAGCAGTCACTGGTGTCCAATGACTGTGTTGAGAAATTAGAGATAAAGGCTTAAAACCACACGGACACTCAACCCTGCAGTCCTGGACATCATAAAGTCTAAACCCAAGCTGTCTGCAGGGCTGAAGCCCTCAGAAGAACCACTGCATGGTGTTCTAGCTTCCGAAGGTCCCACACACACACCCACAGCAGTTCCTCAGTTCTGCTTCCCTCAGCAGCTCCCTCTCTGGTGGCCTGCTCACTCTCCTCCAACAAGAACCTGTGGGCCTGGGGTCAGCACAGTGGCAGGACACTTGCCTAACATGTGAGAGGTCCTAGGTTTGATCCCCACCAGTGGAAAAAAAAAAGAAAGAAAGAAAGAAAGAAAGAAAGAAAGAAAGAAAGAAAGAAAGAAAGAAAAGGGAAGAGGAAAGAGGGTGGGGAAGAAGGAAGGGGCCAATAGGAGGGCTCAGCGGATAAACATGACTGCTGACAAGCCTGACAACTTGAGTTCAATCCCTGAGACCCACACGGTAGGAGAGAACATAATCCCAAGAAGTGTCCTCTGACCTCCACATACACAGTGGTGCATGTACCTACACAAATAAATAAATAAACACGTGTACTAAAATCATAATTTAAAAAAATAAGGGAAAGAGAAAGGCTTCCAAGCCCAGTGTTACATGTTTGAATACAAATGCCTCCTGTATCAGAGGCCAATAATGGCTAATTAGGGCTGCCCTAATTAACAGTCATCCTCTTAATGGAATGATCACATGGATTATGTGGGTGGGAACCTGCCTGAGGGAAGATCCTGCTCACGGAAGACACCTTTTCCTAGCCACCGCACATCTCTCTGCTTTCTGGCCACTGAGGTAAGCATCCTTGCTCCACCAGGCCCTTCCTTCCCACCACCTATCACCACATGCCCATAAAAAACAGAGCCACATGACCATGAGCTGAAACCCATCTCCAGAATAAATGCATCCTTACCTTAGATATTCTCTCCACTGTTCTGTCATAGCAGCAACAGCCTAACACCAGTGACCACACACACACACACACACACACACACACACACACACACACACACACACACGAGATGGATGGATGATGGATGGGTAGATGACAGATGGATGATGATGGATAGATAGATGATGAATGGATGGACAGATGGTGGATGGATGAATGATGGATAGATGGTGGATGGATGGATGGATGATGGATGGATAGATGATGGATAGATGGATGGATAGATAGATGACAGATATATGGATGACAGATAGATGGATGATCAGACAGACATGTAAGAAAACTGCTCACAAGTTTCTTAGCAGCCACACCTCCACCAATCTCAGCAGCATGCAGAGCCACTCAGGAGGTCCCAGGATGCACTCCTCTGAGCTCCCAGGAGTGACAGTCATGGGCCTCCCCTCTTCAGTGAAGCATCTGTTATGACCCCCTTGCTCTCCTGGGATGTTTGCCTCTTTCTTATCCAGATGCCAACTCTGCAGGTTCAGGATGCCAACTCTAATGACCCTCAGTACCCTTTACAGAAGAGGAGGCTGAGGTATAGGACAGAGGTGGCCATTTCCCAAGGCCAAAGTCTGTCAGGGCCAGTTCAAACCCCTAAGACCAGCCCCAACAACTGGGACACCCAGGCTTGAACTTCATAAGTATAAATGACTGATAAGCATTTCCCATCATAGCTTCCCTATGACACAGCTGACTACCTGACTAGAACCTCAGGCTAGTGGGAAGACAGGTCCCAAGCTAATCCCTCATGAAGGCAGGCACTGACAGGATCTCTACCAGTGTTCCATGTTTCAGAAGGTGTGACATGTAAATGATAGGCAGAAAGCTCTGGAGAGAGCAGGGTGGCCAGGGCTCTGAGACAAGGAGGATGATCGTGGGGCCTGCAGAACTGAGCCAGGCTCTCATCGACAGTGGCTGACTACAGAATGAAATGACCAGGGTCCAGTCCTCCACACCACTCAACACAGAATGTATGCAATTAGTCTCCTCCTTGGCTTCTTCCTGACTCTGGGGCTAAGTGTCACCAAAATGCCAAGGAAGAGGATATATACCCAACTGGTCACAGCTCCAACTGAGGGCTATGAGAGCCCTGGAAGCTGTGAGACCCGCCCCTCACCCGGCCTGTCTGCTCTCCCACAAGATAGGAGTCACTTTCCAGCCCACATGGAGTAACACAAGGCAACATGCATGAAGTGAGCATGGGCCAGGAATGCCATAGGACCCAGAGTCTTGGTGGCACTGTGACCGTCATCACTTGGCTTCTGTTCTGGCTGAGGACCCAGAGTCAGAGTCTTGGTGGCACTGTGACCGTCATCACTTGGCTTCTGTTCTGGCTCGTTTTTTTTTTTTTTTTTTAATTTCTTTGCTGTTTCTTTCATGTCTTAGGTAGCCTTCTATCAAGAATACACACACACACATACACATACAGCTATAAACACACACACATATATATTCACATTGTGACAGTTGGTTTTAATGGTCACCTGGAAGGTTCCAATGAGGGACTGTCTAGTCCAGGTTGACCTCTGGGCATGTCTGTGGGAAAATTGTCTTGATCACCTTGAGTTAAGGAGATCCAGCCCACTTCGAGTGGCACCATTCCCCGGGCTTGGGCCCTGGACTGTAGGAGAGTAGAGAAAGTGAGCTGAGCACTAGTGTACATGCATTCATTCTCTCTCTGCTCTTGACTGTTAGTGTGATGTGGCCAGCTAGCTGTCTTGGCTTCCACACGATTATGAAGTTTCTAGAATGATAAGCCAAACAAACCTTTCTCCCCTGAGTTGCTTTTGGTCAAGCTATTATTGTCACAGCAACAGAAATGAAACTAAAATACACATACATACATATACATAATACATACACTAGAGACACACACATACACACACTTCGAGTATGGACACCTATAATCCTTACTTTGAAAGACAGTGTTAATCAAAAAGAAGAGGAAAAGGAGAAGAAAAACAACTAAGCTTTGGATAGACGTCCCTCAAATCCTATTGATACTAAAATAGTCACCCACACTACATGGGCTAAGTTGGAGGCCGCTCCATCTGTATATTTAAAGCCTCAGCCCGGGGGTTCCAGCTCCCTGCAGTAATCTGAGCCTTGGCCACTGAGCAGGCAGCTTGGGGTCACTGAACCAGGCAGCTGCTTCCAGAAGCCTCTAGATTTAAGCAACAGGGCACACAAACCCTAGGAGATATAAAAAAACCTTTGTAGCCTCTTTAACTTTGCAATCACTTAATATTAAAGCCCAGGTTCTTGAGATGTGTAAATTTTTCAATGAGAAGCATAAAGATGCATAACTTTTCTAAAGAGCAACAAAAAGAATAAACCCCCAAGGTGGCACTGCATGGGCAAGCCCGAGTGAAGAATGTGGGCTGGTTGACCAACAAGGAAGAGTTAATTAGCAAAGTCAAAGTTGGCATTTCAGAAGGTCTAAGTTTGAAGACCCTGTGTTCACCAACCAACACACACAAGCCTAAGAAAGAGCCTTGTCCAGCATTCATTGGCTCTCTGCTCTTGACTGTGAGTGGAATGTGGCCAGCTAAGACTCCCTGGCCCTTCTGGCTGGGCAGATAGTCATTGGAAAGGCCCAGCACAGAGTTTGGAGGTATCTGCTGCTATGCAAGCCTGCTGCCGGCAGCACAGACCACGGGGAAGGTGGGTTGGGTGGGACAGAACAGAACAAAAGCTTCCAAGAGTTTGCTTCTGGTGGGCAATGTGCCTAGTTTTCACTGTCTGGTTAGATTGTCAGTGAGGGATTCTCTAGATGAGGTCAGCCTATGGGTGTGTCTGTGCAGAATGGTCTATGTTTGGGGGCAGGGAGTGTCTGCTGCCCAGGGATATCAGAAGAAGATGTCAGATCCTCAGGAGCTGGTGTTATGGATGGTTGTGAGCTACCATAAGAGTACAGAAACTAAACGCAGTCCTCTGCAAGAGCAGCCTATGCTCTTAACCACTGAACCATCGCTCTATCCCTGCAGGGCAATGTTTCTCAACCTGTGGGTCGTGACCCCTTGGGGTTAAAAGACTCTTTCACAGGGGTCACATAAGACCATCAGAAAACACAGATATTTACATTACAATTCATAACATAACAAAATTACAGTTATGAAGTAGCAATGAAATAATGTTATGGTTGTGGTCACCACAACATGAGGAACAGCCACCCCATGCTAACAAGGCCTACTGGCTCCTTCCTCAAATCCTATGGACGAATCTGCTGTGTTACAGCATTAGGAAGGTTGAGAACCACTGCTGTAGGGGATTGTCTTGGTTGCCTTCATTGGTGTGGGAAGTCCCAGCCTGAAAGTGGGCAGTACAATTCCTTGGCTCAGAGCCCTGGATGGCTAAGGACTAAGCGCTTGCATTCTCCCTCTGCTCTTATCTGGTTGTGGCTAGAGCTGCTTCAAGTCCCTCCTTGACTTCCCGGCAACAACAGCCGGAAGTAAACACCCACTGGGACCAGATCCCTGTATTATGTTTGTCAGGGTCTTGACCAGAGCAACAGGAATGCAGTTAGAACAGAGTTAGGGTCCCAACACTCCTCCAGGCAGACTTCTAAAACTGTCACCAGCATCCAAACACCTGCTGCTTGGAACTCTGGAGGACAAGGCAGCCAGAGTTGCTGAAAAGATGGGAACCCAGGAAGAGGTTTCTGTTCCAGCATTGCACTTGCACAGGCTGGGAGGCACTTGGTTCCCAGCACCTTTTCCCTTAGGCTCTGACACACCCTCAGAAGTCTGTAATTGAGCAAATTTGCTCCCAAGCAGAAACCCACTTGACCCCCTGCTCTGCCACTGGACCAGAAGTGTCACTTGTCAGCATTCATCATGAAGTAATACTGCTTAGCAGCCACCCCATGCTAACAAGGCCTACTGGCTATTGCTCCCAAGCAGAAACCCACTTGGCCCCCTGCTCTGCCACTGGACCAGAAGTGTCACTTGTCAGCATTTCATCGTGAAGTAATACTGCTTAGCAGCCACCCCATGCTAACAAGGCCTACT